TTTTTTTTTTTTTTTTTTTTTTTTTTTTTTTTTTTTTTTTTTTTTTTTTTTTGTTGTTTTTTAAACACGAGGAAGGCAGGTATGATGCGTCCGCGAGTGCATCTCTTCATTTACATAATGTTCGAAACACATAAACGTCTTGAGTCGTGTTGTCGAAGAAAGTCACGTGGTCTCTCACAGAATCTCCCTTTACCTCTCTACATTTTTTTTTTTTACTATACATTAAAATTTTCTCTGGTTTATGATTCAACGACGACATAAAAAAATCTCCATAGTCACAACAACGTCGAGTCGGTATTAAAAATTATAGAGGTGGAAAATAGATATATATATTATTCTTCGTCTTTAAGTTTCTTTCAGCGAAAAATACTACTGGTACAACCGTGTGTTTTATATGATACCCATGTCTCTCAATAAAGTGCTATTAATCTCTTGCACTCGAAAACACACTCGTTACTACAATTTTTGTTCAAGCAGTAGTTTGAAAGATTTATCTCTACCATGTTACTTTGCTAAGAGATTCATCAGGAAAACGCACAGTACACGAAAGATTTCCTAGACTCATCGAGACGTGCTTTAATAGATACCTTGTTATTTCAAAGTTATACGTTTTGGACTGTCGGTAAAAGACGGCAAAAAGTTATTAATAAAGTCGCGCGACTATTCCCGCGTACGCGTACGTGCACGTATACGTATAAATCGGCGCAATAAGCCTGACAATTTCTAATTAGCTTTATTTCAGTAGACGGCGTGAAACGCTACTCCGTAGAGGGAACTGCCAACAAGTCGAAGGTCGAAATCGCAAAGCTATAATTTTTACTTTCACGCACGCGTCTAGAAGCGCTCGCAAGTGTCAAACGCTTTCGTTACGAATTAAGCCACTGAACCGCCGTCGATATTTTGGAATAAATCGATAGTATCAAACATTACAATTCAGCTAATCTATATACTATTGTATGTGAAAAAAAAAAATAGTCGATCGCAAGCATGACTAATTGAGGTAAAAAAAAAAAAGTATTTGAAGCAATATTCATTTTGCATAAAGACTTTGAACGATGTGTTATTGTTTTAGATGTGCATCAAGATATTTGATATTGAAACCGCAAAATCGGAGTATTGACGCACAATTACTTTACTTTTGGATATACCTATGTTATAAACTACTGCTAAGTATGACTATCGTAACAATCACCGATGATCAAAGACTCAACAGTTATTAACTGCCTCAAACACCAGTAGCATTTTTCTCGATAAGGTATGATAATGTTAAGGTACAGGTATGCATCGTTACCTCGATCGTCAGGCTCACACCGATCGCGTGTTGCACGTAAACATTCGCGAACACCCGAGTCCGAATACTCCATTTTGACGAATGAATGTACGTGGACGAACGAAGGGGAGGATCCACGTAGTGGTGACAAACATACATATATTGATAAGCGCGTCGACGAGTTGTTGCAAGGTGCCGTTCGACGGGACGATCTAGACCCAACAGGCAGGAACCCAGAGGGGCTCGGTCTCGAGCTTGTGTATCGTGGCGAGCAGGTGCTCGAAGGCGATCGGCAAGTCGGCGTTGACGATCGTCTCGTCGAACAAGTGCGAATAGAGGAACTCGATTCTCGCTGCGCTGTGGAGGATCTCCTCGAACTCCTCGTCCTAGAAAAAAAAAAAAAAAACATACCCACACAGCTCGTAAGTATACCGATCGATCGGTGGTTGCGCGCGTAGGGAGAAAAAAAAAGCCCCAACTCACGGTGAAACCCCGAGAATTGCTCTCGTCGAAGGTCGATCTCGCCCTCGAGTCGTTCCTCGTCTCCTTGAATATCTCGAAACGCGGCGGCTTGATGTACACGATGTAGGGCTTGAGCTTGGGCGTCCTGAGCATCTTGAGGGCCTGGTAGTGCGGACTGAGTATGCAGACGTAGCCGGCGTCTACCAGGGAACTCACGCTCTCGGCGCTGGTGCCGTACAGGTTGCCCTTGTACTCGCCGTACTCGATGAACTTGCCCGAGTTTATGTCCTCGTCCATCTGGTCGCGCGACACGAAAAAATACTCCTTGCCGTCGACTTCGCCGGGTCTCGGGGGCCTCGAGGTGTCTTTCCACAAACAATCGTTACTTGTTTTTTTTTATTTTTTATTTTGTTACACTACCCCCCTTTGTTTTAAACGCCGAGCGCCCTGTTCTCAACAGCGAATCGGTCAAAGTAAAATTTTGCAATCGGCAATTGAAATATTCAAAAATCGGAAAAATCGTTAAAGCAACAAATGTGTATACGTGGGAGCTTACAGGGCACGGGAGTCCTGTACTTGTCGGGATTGGTGGCCATGAGTCTGCGTTTGAGCTCGTTCCTGCCGACCCCGGGTGGCCCGATGAGTACGACGGGCCGATAGAGACCCGGACGCGGGTATAGCTTGGCCACCTCCTCGTACGTGGCTATCTCTTCGCGATCAAAGTCGTCGTTCTCTGTAGCGTCATACATGATTTTTTTAGTTTTAATGCCCTGCAAACTGCATTTTGTGGGCGATTCGTGCATACAAGTACTGGTAGTACGGGGACGGGGGCACAACGTGGGCATAGGCACTGGAACAGAACACAAGCCTAACCGACGGGTTAGGTAACACACACGTATAAGCAGCGTTAGCAGATCATATTGTAACAGGTAGGTATTATACACAAGTATCGCATTGGCAAAGCCGTCAGCACTTTTATCCTTTCTTTTTCCACCTTGTCGTTGTATTTTTGCGAGTTTCCGGTACACACAAGGTGTGGCCTTTTTTTCACACAGTAGGTATATACGCCATCAGAGGATATCTCGTGTTAATAAAGACGTGTATGTAATGATTATGTTATTCACGTGATTGCTCGTCAAATGTGAGTTAAGGCATCATCAGGAGAGCCATTGTAATGTAAAATATATGTGAAATAGCAACCGAATCTTACTTATACTGTCGTCTTCGGACTTGTCGCGCTGCTGGCGCTGCATGATGACCCGATGCTCCTGCAGCGCCCGGGAGGGTATCAGACCCGCTCTCATGTTGCGGTCGCCCTCCTTTCTCGCCTGCCACCTGAACCGATCACAAGAAAACACATCAGAGATTCATCGTTTATCTCAACAGAGAGGCCAATGCAATGACGTTTCATCGATTTATGTCTAGTTGTTTTTTTTTTTTTTTTTACCAGTGAGGGTCGTCCTGGCACACGATGTGTAGAACGTCGCCCCTGTCAAAGTCCAGGCCAGCTTCCGTGCACGGTGTCTCGGGATCAATGGACGCCTTGTATGTGAAGTGCGCGCGTACTCTGACCTGCATTTAATTTTTATGTTACATACGAATATGAACGCTTAAGGGGGTCATCGTCTTTTTGTGCTTACCTTGCTCTCCCGGAATATGTTTTTACTCTCCGCAGGTACGATTTTGAAAGTTATGGTGCCCTCCGAGCTTTGCTGAAATTCGCCAAGCAAACCCGAACACGTCAGATATATATATTATTGGGGATTAATCGCGGGTCGAGGGAAACGGCGGGGAATAAGACAGTTGGACGTTCGGGGGTTGGCAGATTAACAACATTTTTGGATTTCGGTGTGTATTGTTAAAATATAATGCATTACCAGGATTTTTAGGACGTCGTTCGGTGTCTTGCCCTCGACGCTGATCCCGTTCACCTCGTGGATCTCATCGCCGACGTTTATGAGACCGGAACGATCCGCCGCCCCGCCGTGCATCACCCGAGCTATCACGATCTTACCACTTTGCTCGTCAGTCTTTATCGTTGCTCCCTAATGGGCCGAGCATAATTCGCTTTAGTCATTATTTTTGGATTTTTCTCTGTTCTTCCAAATCCAAATATAAGCTCCCCCGTGAATGGGTACACAGACATTTTGATACCATCTTTTTTTTTTTTTCTTTTTTTTCTTTTTTTTTAATGATACAAGCATTAATTCTGTGTACGTGATAAGAAGGTCCTCGCGTTTAACTTGAAACAAGTGCACAAAAACAGATAAAACTCGTTTATTTATTTTTTTTCGCGACATTATTATAGAGCCGCAGAGCCCTATTATTTTTTCAAGTTTATCGTTAACGAATTTCGATTAAGCTTATCAATGTATATTGTACGAGTTAATTCGTTTTTTATTCATTCACTGATTTCTTTGAATTTTACGTAATTTAATTTTTAATATGTAATTAAAAAAAATAAAAGTATTTATGTTATAAAAAAATCCCATTTTTTCAGTTTAGCTGTATTTCGTGACTTTTCTGTTGGATCCTGTGTCAAAAAATTGACTTTAGTACGACGATTTGTAAGAACCTTCTTACTGTTGATATAAATGAACATTTAAAAAAATAAATGTGAAAGTAATCGATCTATATTACAATAAATGCAAATGTAATGATGCATGCGGAAAAGTAAAATGGTGAAAGGTATGCTTTAAATTTGTTTTTATTTAAACAAAAACAAAAACGTGCAAATCACAAATATACAATAGCATAACGTATAAAAACAATAATTCACTATATACACATCAACAAAATACGAATAAATTAATGTTTTCCAACATAAACAAACAGCCATGTTTTTATATACATTTGGTAGTAGCAAATAAAATTTGTACAGTCATAAAGAGAAAGCGTAACAATAACAATAAATGAGATCAGTAGCCTATTTAAATAATAGAAACAAAAAAACATTCATTCACTGATAGCAAATTTGTATGTGTCAAAATTGAACAGAAAATATAAATTGTGCTGTAAAATAAACATAAGATCGCGGTATGAGACTTTTTTTTAAGTCTGGAGCTCTAGTAACACTTACCATTATTGGTTCAATGCCAGCACCAGACTTCGGAGCAAGTTTGACAATGAAAAAGAAACGTGATTACTCGCAAAATTTTAACATGTCATACCACTTGAGACATTTTAATGACGAGAGTAGGATTTTTTAAAACACAAAAAGGCGTCTTTAGACCCACAAAGCTAATTTATATACATGTTTTAAATGGATAAGTATTTTGTGATGAAAAAAAAAAAAAGATTCTCGTGTTATTATTCCAATGCATGCTATTTAAGATTGAAAAAAAGGACATTATAGAATTTGAAAAAAAATTTGCTATCTTGTATATAAGTAGCGTCACACTTCTTCAATCGAATGTTAAAGATTTCATGTAACTGAATGATTCAATCTATACAAATTACAAACACAAAACACGCGTTTCCAAAGACATACCAATGGTTCGTCAGACTTGACTAGTTGCACAATTTTCACGGTTTCCTCGTCTTCGTCCATCTCTACTGGAATATCAGGAAGTCTCGGATAGTAATCTTTTTGAGCTACAGTGTCATGCGATATTAAAAGTGCCTAGAACGTATTATTTGCGTGATTATGAACATAATACTATGACTGATATGATAGACTTTTGTGATATTTACTTGAACATGAGGCTTCTGGAGCAACAGAAAAAGTTCTTTGAATTCATCCGACACTTGGGTCTTGTTAGCCAAAAGCGACAAGACCTCGACATTGATTTCCATGGCATTAGAGAGAACAGGCGAGAATTTGTCATCTTTGAGATTCTTTTGGATCTTGTTGTACACATGCACCAGGGCGTTCAGCTCCTTTGACCGCAAGAGATCGCTCAGAAAGCCGAACTCGTCGTCCGAGGTGAAAGTCGGTGCAGACGCCCTGTGTGCGTCCAAGGCACTTAATACTTTTGAAAGAGCTGCAACAAAAATTGGTGTTGATTGCAGACAAATTAATTTTCGACACAAAATATTATTGTCATCTTTGTACGTAATGAATGTATTTACGAAAAAGTGAGCAAAGCTAAATTTAAAACCGTGGCACGGGATTTGCCTTGATTTCATAAAAATAGAAAAAAGGAGCGTAATGAAAAAAAAAAAAAAAAAAAAAAAAAAAAAAAAAACAATTTACCGGGATCCCAATTGAAGTTTTCCATGGTTGCTGCCTCTTGACATAATTTGCGCGCCCGACGCCCAGGACACGCTCAGGCTCCTGCAGCCCCTCTCCAAACACCTTGCACTCTGCAGCAGCACCAACAGCTGAGAGAGATAACGCAGAGAGTGATGCTGATAACTGATGGTTGATGTACACATACACGCACACACACACAAGCGCGCGCGAGGACGAGCACAATAAAAAGAGGCGATGAGGGGGAGTATAGGTGAGGAAAAAAAAAAATTTAATTAAAGATTGGGGCGAGAGACACAGGGTAGAGAGAGCGGATGACGCGAATCGGGTCACTGGACGAAGCCTGTACTTATGGACATGCAGCATGCACTGAGAACACCAGCCACAGATATCGGAGCTAACAAGTGAACGCGTGTGTGCTTATTTTATTTCTGGCTCGAGACCCGAGACAGCCAACAAGCTCGACTTGCCAGCCAAGAAGCATATAGCCGTGGCCCGAAGCGAAGCTCGCGTGATGAGCTGACCAAGGGGATCGGGAGAACAGAGAATTAAGGCTTTCCTACATGCGTTTATATGTATACACATGGGTACTTGCATCTATCTACAAACACAACTTAGGCTCGCGAAAATATTTCATTACGTAAGCAAGAATATGTCACTCGACTCTCGACTTCCCGACTACTTATAAGTATATTCAACCATATACTTATGCACCTGATATATCTGAAACTCCGAGGCGGAGTTCGAGGTGCAACGAGAGTTGGGTTGTATACACACTGCTGTACACACACTTAGCGGATCCCTTTTTACGCACACGCAAAATGTTTCAATTTTACTGGATGATTCCGTCAGGCGACTTTACTCATTGGAAGATTTTGAATTTGTACGCTGAGCAATTTTAAGGCTCACTCCCTTCCTTTTTTAACGCTTGCATGGGAAAACATAAGATAAATGGTTCATTTTATCAGAGCACAGTTACACACATTACACCCACAGCAGCAGTACCTAATGGTGTCTATACAACCATACCATAATATCGCTTTGCAACAATTGCAACTGTCACTTTTGGCATTTACTTCCGATGTGATCATTTTTCTATTAACAGTCTCTCAAATTTGATAATTTTTGGAATAAAGTCAAACGATTATTCTCTGATCACAAGTAAGAAAGTATTAATATCTAATATGACTGCATTAAAAGGCATCCTCATTATTTATTTCTATCTTCGTGTCTCAGCATACTTATATTGTAAACAAACAAATTGTAGCCTCCTTAAGGTAGTTGTACAGCAAATTGAAATATAGGATAGAAAATTATGATATTTTGCAGGATGGTAGATTAATGCATAAAAATAAGAAATCTAAATTTTTGTGACCCGAGGGTACCTATAAAGGGAGATATTCATAATTATTTGCATGCCTTGAGTTTTTGTTTACATGCCAATTCAACATGGCGTCTTATGGGAAACCGCGGAGCTGTCTGTATATTATCATTCATATCGTTGCTAATATAGGATAGGTTCTGATGCCCTTTGGACAGTAGAAAGATAATTAAATGACAATTATATATTCGCTTTCAAAACCTTCCAAGGGTACTTGTGAGAAAAGTAATTAAATAGTAAAGCGTGAAGAACGTGCATTTGTGAGACGCTATTTGAAAATATGGCAACGCCGCATAATCTGATATTACGCGCGCGGTTTGAAAGGTAAATAGGTACATATGATTGCTCGTAAATCCTGATTACTGCAATCTCTCTTATAGATTTTCAATTATTGTTATAGGACGTATATTTTAAATAAATATGATAAATAAATATATAAATAATAAAACGAACTGATATACAAAGAACATCAAAACAATTTTATTGCCATATATTACTTAAAAATGAAATAAACATGTTATAAATTAATATTTATGTAATAAATATTTAACATTTATTTTTTAAATAATTAAATAGCCTATTTGTTTGTCTGTAAAAACGTCGTTAGAATTTCCGCATGCTCGGCATTCAATATAATACGTCGTACCAAGGCCTATGGGCTTACTAGTAGTCGCATCCAAAAGAGATAATACATTTTTGCAATGCTTGCAAATTAATTGATGTGCAATCATTTCCATGTTCACAATTTTACAACCTTCGTCTTTCAGATTGATGTATTTTGATGGTTCGCGTGATGCAAGTGTAGATTTGACTGCGGTTTTGAGGTTACGCGCTTGTTTACAATTTTCACGGCGAACATTCCACACGTTTCGGCCGGCTTTTTGCTGATTAATGCGTGCATTATATACTTTCTCGCTTACCCTTACACCTTTCCAAAAAAACTTCTTATTTTTTTCTTTGGGCATGACTATTTTATTAACTAAAAAAAAGATACACACGCTTCTCCTTTTGCTACAGCTGATCAACGAAGTGCTCCTTCTATGATGCTCTGAACACACACTTACACACACATGACCGCAAAGCGACGTTGCCAGATCGTTCTACTACACAAATCAAAAAGTTTCATGACTCTTGCGGTACCTGTACAACTACCTTAATAGCATAAGGAGTAAGTACATACATTGTGTTTATATTGAGAAGCAGTAGACAATTGAGGCAATAACAATAACACACACCTCAAATGAGTATAGGTGCATCAGCATCTGCAGCAATAGTAGTGTGCCTATTTACCGACATGTATCAATTTTTAATCATTTAAAATATTTAACTGACCAACGCATTTTACAATAAAAAACACACGTCACAATTATTGAGTAAAGATTTGATCTGTATGCTTCATTTTCGCATAAGTGCGCTAATACAGCTGCTGGGGGATCTGGCGCAAATGGATGTTACCGACTGATACTTACATTTTCATTTTTGTTATCTACATTAGGTATGGAGCGAAAAACACACGACATACCATCAGAGTCATCAGAGATCGTGTTGTTGTTGTCGTGCAGCATCTGTTTGTGCTTCTCTCTTCAATCTCCATTGACGTAATTCCACAGTTTAACACTCGTAAAGTATGTAACACTCTGTCTCTTTCAAGATTAGATGAACGAAAGTTCACGTCGGACTCCAGAGTATAAGTGCTTACTTGTAAAAGGTTTTGCTTTTCTCCACTCTCTCTTTCCTTACATTTAAACTTCTCGTCGAGTTGCATCGTTGACAACAACAAAGTAGTATTTCCACTTGCAGATAGAAAGCAACCTCAACGTAAGTATACCAATCAATCGTAATATGTTAAAAACTGTGATAATCAACCTCAGTGCTGCAGTTCTAATATTTATGATTTAGAGTGCACCTACCAATTTTCATTTGTATTTTTTGTGTTTTGAGGTAAATCACATTAAATCTACAAAAAGTTCAACTAAAAATAAAATTCCTCCATATATCTGGAACAGTTCAAATGAAGTTGTTTCTTTCAGGTGTAGTGACATTCTGACGATGAGTGAACAGAGCATGTTACAACTAAAAGTTTATCCCACCACATTTTAATGGCCTTTTTCCCTAATACTTACACACTAACAAATTAAATCGAGATGCCTTCTACCTGTGGAAAAATTGCCGATTTTACTTGTAAGCTGTGACCTGACAGAAGCAGTGCAATGTGCATTTCATTTAATTTACTCATACTCTGTTTAAACACCAGGTCTACCAGGATTGATTGACGGAGCATCAGGAACAGATAGCATTGGGACATACAGTGATCTTTCAGAAAATACTACTATCCTAATCAAGCCTAAGATGGACATAGCATGTATTATAGATCTCCACCAACCAGAGCATCTGGCTCAGAGAAAGAAAGCCTTTGAAGAAATAAAGGACGCCTGTGGTTACAATAACAAACTACACCACATACAATTTGAAAAGTTAGATTTTGGAGAAACAAATGCATTGGATACTTTTTACAATGCAGACGTTGCATTAGTGGATTTAAGTGTACAGTTGCAGCAATCTGCTTTGTTTTATCATTTAGGAGTACGTGAAAGTTTTGGAATGAAAGAAAACATATTATTGGTCAATGACGTTGACTCTGAAGCAACAATAAGATTAAAGGTAATTGAACAGAATAATTTTTTTGTAGCATTGTATGCACTGCAAAGCATTTTGAGCATGATTGATGGAAACTAATGTTTTTCAGTATATTTAATACTTACCTTTAAAAAAAGTTTCTGTTGTCATTATACATTGCCTAAATATTTTCATCAATTGTATATAAATAATAATTTTGAAAATTGCATGTTTCAGCTATCTTGCGGTAGCTATGTGTTTATTCCGTACAAATATACTGATGGTGATGTCACAACATCTATACCACCGAGTTCTCCTAAAGGTGTCAATGAAGAAATCATGGATCTAAGCCATAGACTTAAAAAACTGTATGAAGAAGTAGAAGTGCAGACAAAGTAAGAAACGATTAGAAATTTATAAANTCGTTGGCCTCCACGAAGGAGGCCTCAGACGCCTCCTCCTTTAGAGGAGCATCTGTCTGAGCCAAATTGAGGTTATTTACACTCAATCACAACAATTGGACCTGGATCCAACTCCAGACAAGGTATCTCCTTTAACGGAGAGAATTGTGAAGATCCGTGTTAATCACAATAATACACTAATTTTTGTTAGTTTTATATAAAATAGCTGTTCACTCAATCCGCCATCCGACGCGTGATCGGTAAGTCACTCACATAAAGAAGCATGCTCGTTTCTACAGACTATCAATAAGTAGCGCCCTCTGTCGCGCATAGTGGGAGACCGTCGGACCACATCATCAGTGCCGCAACCGCAGTGCCATGACGCCGTCGCCGCTTCTGCTACAGTGAGCCGACCGCCTCCTCCCCGCAGCAGACAGCATCTAAGTACACTTATTTATACAGTTATAGTTACTTTATGGCGAAGTATTTACTTAAGTTTAGTACACAATTCATAGTTCTTTGTAATATTTAAAGTTTTTCAATATTCTCTTATCGCAATCATTAATTTTCCAGGAGTATCTAAGTATATCATATCTTACATTATTCGGATTAAATTTAATACATTTATTTCTATTATCTTCAGGTACGTGGTAGAAGATTGGAATTTGGTTTTTATCAACTATGAAGTTGTTTTGATCTAGATATAGAAATGAGTGTGGGGGTACGAAGCCCGTTGTGAGATTTTTGCTGTGATATAAATCGTTTGGCATATATAAATGTTTTATAACATTGTTGGTGTTCTTCAAGGCACTTTTCACATGTTCTCTCATCAAGTTAATCATAAATACATCAATTCTGACAATATTCGCCATTTTATACAACTTTTGATTACTTATAAAATGGGAAAAGTCTGAAGAGGCTGACCTATAACTATTCAGGCAGATTCTGAGGCATTTTCTCTTAAAACATCTGATCCGTTCCATTTGGTATGCACTGATGTTGAACCAGCTCATACATGAATATGTTATCATGGGTCTAATTAAACACAGGTACGATATAAATTTAGTTTTTTTGTCTAGATAGGATGATCTAAATGGACTGCGCAATCCCCTGAATGCTGTTGCAGCTTTGTTAAGATGTTTTTGAACATGTTCTGTAAATTTTATTTTACTATCAATAGACGAGAACCAGTGCTTTTAGCGTGGTATGGACGTTGGCGAATACCTGAGATAAAAATGAGCCTTTGATTAGAACGTTTTTCTCAAGATCGTATGTCTCAAGTGCGTATTTGCAACTGTGGTCCGATGGTTCGGAAGCCATGTAAAATATCGGTCCCGATTGCTGTGCAAGTGATTTATCACATTAAATCTGAGGTGGTTTTTTTACTATGCCAATGACGATAGCATACATATGCAAGAGTAACCCAGAAATGGAGAGCAACATAGGACCTGTATGGGACCTCAAATGGCTGTAAAAATTTTTAAAAATGATTAAAAACTTTAAGGGCCCATATGAAGGAAAAATTTTTAATAGATTTACGTAAAGCGCGTGAATCTCTTAGTGGTGAAGAGTTATCACAAGCTTTACATAAACTTCGAACGAGATTGGATGATCCCCATGTTTTATCAGGAGAAGTTGTTCTTAACGTTTTAATGTCTTTTCGAGATGTGCAGGTACTTACAAATTATTATAATTCGTTTAGCTTCCTCAAAAAAAAAAACAATTAACGAAAAAACATTATCTGTACTACGATATTTTTCAGGATTACAACGCCATGGTTCAACTCGTTGATGATTTGAAAACAGTACCAAATCACAAGAATTCAATAAATACTCCCGCAATTTGTTTTTTATATGCGTTTGCTTTAAATCGTAGACAAAAAGAAGGTGACCGAGAAAAAGCTTTGAAGGTTATTGAAGAAGCTTTGAAGAAGAAAGAGAATTGTGTTCCGGACATGTTATGCTTGTGTGGCAGAATATACAAGGATATATTTGTTGAAAGCCGTCACACGGATCAAGAAAGTTTGAATAACGCTATATATTGGTACAGAAAAGGTTTTGAGGTATAAAAATTAACGTTTTTTATTTTGATCTTATTTATATTTTTGCAATAGGTTTGATCTTTTCTCATTTCCTATTTAAGGTTCAACCCAACGAATATGCTGGAATAAATTTGGCCACTCTCTTAGTAATTGCGGGCAATGAATTTTCAAAAAGCGAAGAACTTCAGCACATTGGCATGGTTCTAAATAACTTGATTGGAAAAAAGGGAAGTTTATCAAGTTTGAAAGATTACTGGGATGTAGCGACATTCTTCGAAATAAGTGTTCTCGCCGAAGATTATACAAAAGCTTTAAAGGCCGCCGAGTGCATGTTCAGGTTAAAACCACCAAATTGGTACCTGAAGTCTACAATTGGTAATATAACGCTCATTGATCGATTTCGCAAAAAAAATAACGATGATACCGAAACTCATCCAGAAGAGCAATTTTTTGCCTTTTGGATGGAATATTTTGTCGAAGCAATAAAAACAGATGTTCAGGATACCATTCGATTTCCTGTAAATATTTGAATTAATTTTAGTGGAGCTTATCTTGAAACTTATTGGTAACATGTTGTGACTAATGATTTTTCTTTGTCTAAAATTAGGTATTGATATTAGAACCAACGAAAATTTTGTTGCCAAGTTACATAATTGTGAATCTTGGAGCTGAAGAAAAGTCAATACAGATTTCAAATTTGTGCCTTGAGACTGAACAGAAAAATTGCAAGCACGTTCATAGTTGGTTGTTCAGTGCCAACATGATACGTAGTGTTAGTTTTTACAAAAGAGACGAAAGATGTTTATTTTTATACGTTCATCAAAATAGTGACGATTTTCAAATATATTTACCATCGATGGCCTCTAGAAAAAGATTCCACGATCTCATCTTAGAAATGACTGCGGATCAAGAAGGAATGGTCACTGATTTAGACGCTTATATGGCCGACGATTCGTCAAAGGTCAAGTTTGAGTATGAACTAGATGAGCAGAATAAACGTGTTATTCTTGGCAAGGGCACATTTGGCGTTGTTTATGCTGCTCGTGATTTAAATACGCAAATAAGAATTGCCGTAAAGGAAATACGTGAGAGAAACCTTGGCGATGTGCAGCCCCTGCATGAAGAAATAAAACTGCATAGTCAACTTCGACACAGGAATATTGTTCAATATTTGGGTTCCGTCAGCGAGGATGGCTTCTTCAAAATTTTCATGGAGCAGGTTCCTGGAGGTATACAAGCGAGTAATTTTAGCTTAATGTCAAAATCAGAAAAACGTAATAACTCTCATTTTTTCTACTCACAGGAAGCTTATCAGCCTTACTCAGATCTAAATGGGGCCCATTGAAACAAAACGAATCGACGATCTCTTACTACACGAAACAAATTTTAGAAGGCTTGAAGTATTTACACGATCAAAATATTGTTCATAGAGATATAAAAGGTCCTTACAAATTGTTCTGTTTATCTTTTTAAAGTATAATAAATGTAAAGTTAACAACTACTTTTCTCTGATATTTTAGGTGATAATGTGCTGGTAAATACTTACAGTGGAATTGTTAAAATCTCGGATTTTGGTATGTCCAAGAGATTGGCTGGCTTATGTCCAAGCACAGAGACGTTTGCTGGTACTTTACAGTATATGGCTCCAGAAGTTATCGACAAAGGTCAGCGTGGTTATGGAGCTCCAGTGAGTCTACTTTTAATTTCTTTTTCACTCTCATTACATACATAAATTAATTATCATCATAAACACGCTCATTCACATTAATTATATAGGCTGATATATGGTCTCTTGGATGTACCATTGTCGAGATGGCAACTGGTAAACCACCGTTCATAGAATTAGGTTCTCCTCAGGCTGCTGTTTTTAAGGTATAAAAACAAAGTACATATCTCTGATTGAATCAAAAATTTTTAAAGTGCACAAATGTAAGATTTAATGCGTATTCAGGTCGGATACTATAAAATTCATCCAGAGATTCCACCAGAGTTGTCAGAAAAGGCCAAAAACTTCAATTTACGTTGTTTTGAAGCTAACCCTGATATCAGAGCAACAGCAGCTGAGTTGCTGGAAGATCAGTTTTTGTCAGAGTAAGGAAAAATTTTAGAAAACTTCGGTTAACCATTCACCTGAATCATAACAATTTCAATTGCTTTTTAGAAAAAAGAAAAAATCGAGGCTCGCTGCTCCTCCTGACTTTAGTCGCAGTATATCAGTACCTGCCGAGAAAGTGGAGAAACTCGTGAAAAATGATAAAACAAACAATAATCACATAGTCACCCAAACCCCCATGTTGGCTTCTCAATCGGACGAGTGGTAATTTAAATTACATAGCTTTTGTTGCTGCATCATGTTTTGCATAATTCAGAGCACATTTCACTTATTGTTGAGCTTTAGATGTTATCATTGTTTTACATGAAAAAGCTTATTAACACTAATTGAAGCAGTGCACAGTTTATTTTGATTTTATGGTATATTTTTTCAATTGCTTTAAATTAAAGCGTTTCACACAATGGAGGACAAACAAAATCGTATCGATTAAAGGAGCGTAGTCAGGCTCGTCTTCTTTCTCTTATCAGTATGCCAACCGCAAATCCATATATTTCGTCAAACAGGTAAAATACAAAAGGAAATGTGAAGAAAATTGAAATTTATAAACGTTCCGAACCTTACATGAGAAAAATTACTATTGTAGTGCATGCTTTCTGTGTGATAAATTTGAATAGCTTTTGCTTCTCTTATTTAAATGTTCATTTACTGCTAAAACTGTAGTTTGGCCTTTATTGATTTATTTATTATTTTTTTTTTTTTTACAAAATTCGCAAAATTGAATTTTTGTGATCAGTGTATTTGAAAAAATTATCTGTGGCTGATAAAATAAGCTTAACAATGGCTACTTTATGACTTGTTTATACATTTATTATATTTGTTCTGAAATTTATCTAATAGAAATAATGCAAAATCATTCATTATTTCGAAAAAAGTCAATAAATAGTCGTACAAAGATATTAAATTTTTTCTGTTGGATTAAAATATACGTATGTAAAACTATTTATTTTGTTTAGCCCCAGCATAATCGATACGACGCCAGTGATAGATATGAGTGAATCAGAGTCTTCAACAAGGAGAAGCTCATCTGGAGGGCTTTTATCGCCGGAGGTTGAAATAACGGGTAAAATAGTTGATTTTTAATTTTTTAATTCAAGTACTATGAAAAAGATTTTTTTTTTAATTATAAACTTTTAAAATCTAAAACAGGTCAAAAAAGTGGAGAAGATCAAGAAGGTTTTTACTTACTTAAGAAAGATGGTCAGCGACGAGTAACGCTTACACGTGTTTTGAGTCAAGATGAAGCTAAAATTTGTTCGCTGTGGATGAGAAAAATTCAGGCTGAAGTAGGACAAAAGACCGTGTTAGAAATGGTACATTGACTTATCTGATGAATTCGAATAAGTGTTCTTTGATAATGCAACATTTTCACGTGATTTATTTTTTAGTATCACTTGGAGACCTTGTTCAGAGCTTTAAAAGACTTTATAACTGAACAAAATCGACAAATAATAACTGTAGTCATAAGTAAATTAAAAGAAGAACTGGGCTTTGAGTCACCATCACTGATTCAATTACATTTTGCCATATACTTATTTCACAGTACAGTTAATGAAGTACTTCGCATGCACAGCATAAAACCTCATTGGATGTTTACCTTGGATAATTTGTTGAAAAATACAGTTCAAACTGCTATTAGCGGTTGAGTAAAAATAAAGTTGTTCATGTAGAAACCATTTGAATAAGAGTAATGATGAATATATTTTTACAGAATTAGGAGCAAATTTGCTCGGTCAAGAAAGAGGTCAGCTAGCCGCTGAAGGAATAGAAGATGGATCGACATCTGGAATTTCCACAGTTAATTCCGTGAAATCGCAAAAAACCGGTGATTCTGAGGAACATAAATTTTTGCACGAATATCACGACCAAATGGGATCGATCAAAGACGAAAACATGAAGCTCTTGCACGAACTACTCGAGAGCCAAAGATCTTATCAAACTCTCTTGAGTCAAGCGTTGGATGAACAAAATGCACAAATAAAAAGTCTCACTCAATTGTGTCAAAGTATCAACCACAAAATTGTTAAAAAACCCATTACGTATGTGAAATTGATGGCAGAGTATATTTTTTACGACTTTACTTGGTTATTCTTACATTAATCGTTATTTTACAGAATTCCTCAAATCAGTGTAACAGACCGTGATGAGTGTGAGTCTGTGTCAACAGCAAATGCAGAATTGATACGTTGGTTACAAAACTTGAACGTAGATACTGAAACGATCGGAAGGGTAAATAAATTACATTTTTTACATTTCTTTGTGTGATGGTTTTTAATGCTGTTTTATCTAACATATTTAAATTTTATATCTTAGTTTATTGAGGAAGAATACAGCTTAGAGGATGTGCTAGACTACGTTACTAGAGAAGATTTACGCAGGCTTAATTTAAAGTATGTGGACCTCATAGCTTCAATTTTTTCTCATAGTTATATTATTGGTTTTTATAATTTTTTTTTTTTATATTTCAGGGGTGGTATCGAGTTAAGGATATGGAGAGCTATATTAAAACATCGAGACAGTATATAATCAAGCAGAGCAACAAACGTTTTCGTTGTAACGACGACAAAAATGCCTTAACAGTATAACTGTACTAACATAAATAGCGATAACAATGGAAGAATTAATTTATATTCACAAAATTTTCACAAAAATTAATTCTTTGATAGTATATATTTTGATAAACAAGTTGTTCCCATTTTACCAACAGCTGTTGAATTTTCGCACAATAGTTTTACTCCATCGAGCAATTCTATTTTTTATACAATATTTTAATCTAATACGATTTTAAAACGTGTCTTCCATCGATGAGAAACGTCTCATGCTTAAACCATTGAATGCTTATTTTAATGCTAGTTGTGTTTTTAAATTATATTTAAACGAGTTGAAACAGTATTGTAAATGATTTATCTTTTATTAAATTGTTAATAAATATCCGATAAAGCAATTAATTTTGGAATTATTTTTAACTGATTTTGATCTTGATAACAATTACAATTGCCTTACTCTGTTATAGGTTGGGAATAAAAAAACTGATGAATTTTTTAAAACTAACATTTTAATATTAAGTATATAATATTTTTGTATAAGTAATATTTAGTCCCACCGCCGCAAACGAGTTGATGCGAACTTTGTTTTACGCAACAAATATTTGTTCTATGTACTGACCAAACGAAGTGCCTGATCAAATATACATTTTAACTTTCGCAAAAAAACCTGTGAAAAAATAGAGTTTTCATTGAAAAATCAAATGTAAAATGTATGTATATCTAACAAAATTACTTGTATTTGTTTCTACCAAGAAAAACTAGCCGAAGAACATGTTGATTGATGAGCATTAAAAACAATTAACTCTATAATTATCTATTTCTTTATCACCTAAGTATTCCCATTTCAAGATTCAACCTTTTTGTAAGCCCCGCCACGTAAAGTGCGGGTGCGTCAAAATTACAGGTATAGGTATACGTATTTAATCACTTAGAGGTGGCTAAAATCGGAGGGGGAAACAAACGCATTGTTACTTACGTTACTACGCACGGGTCGAAGTTATTTGGAAAGTTCGTGGCTTAGAAACGCTACCGAGTTTATATTTTTCGAACGTATTTTTGAAATGTTAGAATTTACAAGAACCAAAAAATTATCTCGAAATCCGTATTGTTTCATTATTGACTATTTTACTGTTGAGGGTAAACGAGAATTTCAGTGCATCAGTTTTTACGAGAGTCAAAAGATAACGAATACAACTTCGAGGGAGACCGAAGTTTAATGCAGTTTCGAAACTTCCAAGTTTTAGGGAAATATTTTGGGTACGATGTTTGTAGCCATAGAAATTTTGATACAAATATCGTCATTTAAGAAATTTGTCAAAAAAAAAAAAAAAAATTATGATTGACAATCAAACGATTCAGTAATTAAAAATATTGCATTATTTTAAAGTTCAGTGATCAAAGCTTAAGTGCATTAACGAATTAAGAATGCATGCCTATTAAGATATTTAATGGAATTTTTGTCAAACAACTTCAAGGTAACCGTTGCTAGGACCATATAGCTTTAGAAGCGCCAATATTGAAGTTTGAGCAATCCAAGTGTCACAATCAACTTTGTTGAAAATATTTTTACTTCACGAATGAAAATCAAGATTTCAATTTTTTTTTCTTTTGTTTATTCCAAGAGTTTTTAAAATTTTTCAAACAAGTGAAATAAATACTTGGTATCTAGATGATTTTATGCATAGAAATTGCCATTATATTGAGCTCATTTTAATTTTTTACCGATGTTCAGCATACTTTTACGGGGAAGCAAAAATATTAGGTCAATTTGGATGATGAAAAATGTTATTAACAAAGGATTTTGTTCTGGTATGTAAAAGATGAACCCTTGACTCGAACCGCGAGGGTGAAAATCGCGAGATGTCGGACTTTGAGAGTAGCGGAGACAGCGACGAAACGGGGACGATGATGATGGTGCACGAGGAAGTGGACCAGATGCAGCTTCAGCTCAACAATGGGGATAACGAGGAGCTCGAGGAGTTCCAGAAGCTGTTGCAATCGATGATCGATTCACGGGGGGATTCCTTGGACGAGGAGGACGCCGAGAACGAGGATGTCAGTCTGGTTAAAATGTCCGCAGGTACGGCATTTGTTTGATGCGAATCGGCTTTAACTAAAAACTATAAATCGAAGCTCACTTTTGATGGTGCGCAGTGTCATTACGTATGTTTTGAGGATTAATTTTAGTACATAATGATGAATTGTATATAATCGCAAGTATACTACATATTTTTGGAATTACAAATGTCTCCATTTGATTACTATAACAAATATTTTTATTTGTTTCTTGACAAATTTAGCTGTAATACGAAAAACCGATTTTTTCGATTTTCAAAATTTTTACTTTTTTTTTAAACTGCGCTTAAACAAGGGGGATATTACGCGCGTATAAAATATCGTGGAGTTACTGAAAATTCAATGGTAAAAAAAGCAGAAAAAGAGCTCCGAGTCCATATAATAAGGACAAAAAATATATAGAAATACGAGATGACATAATGACAAAATCGATAGGTACTATTTTGCCAAATTTTATAAAAAAATATTAAAGCACTCAAGAGACTCGGAGGACTAAAGCGCTAGTGGATTCACTAATTTTATTAAAAAACTAATTTTTCGTGAAAAGCAAGAAATACATATCTCCGATGTTTTTTCATGCATTGGATGGATCTTGTGACGAAAAAATGTACGCACTAAAGTTGAAGGATGGCAAAAAAATTGAATTCACTAAAAAAAAGAAAATTAGAAATTTATGAAAAAAAAAAAAACAAGTTGTCACACACATATTTAACGTCTTTAAAGTACACTTTATTCATCAATCAAGAAAAAGAGTAAATTACACATTCCGATTTTCCGACCCGATCCAGAAAGGTACTCGGTAGGAATCGACACGGCCGAAAAGCGAAAAGACCCGCAATGGCCATTAGTTATACTTTGCCGGAGAGTCCCCTTGGTTTGTCGTGCAAATCGCTGCGCCGGAGTTAAGGATCGAAAAGTAACTGAGCCGTGCAAAGAGTATATATAAGGTAATATGCCGTTGCAAACAAGCAGGCAGGCAGGTACGTGTATACCCTGTGTAAGTATATATATAGGGAAGATATGCCGACGCGTGCAAAGGATTGCGTGCAAAGTGTGCAGCCACCGATTGCCGGTGTATACGAGGATGTATTTCGTGTTTTATGCCCTGCAGTGGCTTCCTCGTCGTATATGCAATACCTATACCTGCTGTTCCTCTTTTCTCCCTCCCTCCGCCCCGCGCGATGCTCTCGTGACAATACAGGGGCAAACCAACTAATGGCCCAACGAACAAGTCGAACTCTGCGCCGGAGGGACACATGCACACCGTATGACGCTCGCTTGGCGTGGAACTACCAGTTTCGCGAAGCCTCCCCCCCTCGAGCATTTTGCCGATCCTCCTTATGCAGCAGTCACTCCTCGTCGGGACAACTCTGCACTTTCTCCATTGATCAAACACGCAGATAGGACGGAAACGTCGCTCATTTATCATTAACATTTAATTTCCATCGCCTTGTCGATCGTAGATTGGAAAAAAAACAAATTTTTCTTTCTCGATCTCCGTAAAAAATCGGCATGGCATTGTACGGCTTCGTGGTCGTGAGCACTGTATGAATTCGTTTCGCGCCCAGATGCAAACTCGATGATGGAGTCGACGGGCGACTGTCGGCTGGAGTACCTCGGCGCTATCGTCCAGAAGTCCTTGAAACTGAAACCCGAAAAATGGGGCAGGCTGCTGCTGACCGAGGATCACCGCAACGCCGTCCTCGACTTTCTGGACAACCCCGTCCCAGCGGCGATTTTGTTCGTTCTGACACCAAACGTCCAGCTCGTGCCTTCCTGCGGCTTCCCCATCCCCTGCCCGAGAACCAAAGGTACTTGAGCACAATTTATCTATCCTACTAAAACACACCGCGCTCAGCCAAACCAACCACCTATATTTTTGTTTCCCCCCCCCCCCTTCGTCTCTGGCCCCGCAAAAGGCGTGTACGCGATAAAAATGCAAATCGCAGTGGTGCCCAAGGACAGGGATGCTTGCGCCGCGATGCTCATAACGGGGGATCTCTCGCACCGAGTGGTCGACGAGCTGGCCACCATAGTCGACAACATATTCGCGCCGCTCCTCTGTAAGCCCCAGAACCACAGGGGCCTGCCCAAGGTCGCGGTCCGGGACATAGCGCGACACGTGCACTCGCTGCGCGGTACCCTGTACCAAGTAAGACCACACCTACGTCCCGAGTACAATACATTATGTGTTGTTCTTTTGACAAATCCGTGATGGTTCCAGGTGAAGGGTCAGGTGAACGGGAGGACGGTCCTGCCGATGCCCGCCGGGCTCGAGAAGGTCGCCGAGGTCGAGCGAGCCGTCAGCCTCGAGGGACCTCAAGCGGTCGACCTCTACCTCAAGAGCGCCATCGAGGGTGTCGTCATCAAGTGGGCCTACCTCGTCAACGAGGTCGTCACCCACGACTCGAGCGCCGCCTTCGACAATGGCCAGAACCCGACGCCCTACTCCGAGCTCGAGTACTGGTCGGCCCGGCTGGCCAATCTGAGGTGGGACGATCACTCCTTTTTCCGCTGATAAATAATCGCAGGGTGAGGCATTGTCCGTCTCTGTTGGCAGGTACATCTACGACCAGCTGCGGGAGGACCGAGTCAGGAGGATGGCCGTCATTCTGGAGAAGACCGACAGCGCGTACTACCCGTGTTTCAAGACGCTCTTCACTAACGTGGTGTCCTCGCTGGCCGAGACCAGGGAGATATCTCTGTACTTGGCGCCGCTCGCGAGGTGCTTCAAGGCCGTCGAGGAGACAGATTTCGCCGAGGTGAAGCCGATCATGGCCACGCTGCTCCACTCGCTCGGTCTGGCCTGGGCGAGCACCAAGTACTACCAGAACTCGACCAAGCTCATCATCATTCTTCGCCAGATATGCAACCTCCTCATCCAGGAGGCACGCCGATTTCTCGATCCCACCCTCATTTTTCAGAGCGACGTCGACGAGGCGCTCCTGCAAGTCCAGTGCTCGAAAGGTGACGTTGCACCTTCACCTTCTTCTACCTTTGGCTCAATTGTGTACCTTTTTCCCGCGCAGATGTTTTGGAAGAGTTCAAGAGGCAGTTTGATCTGCAAAAGGACAAGCCCGGCCTCAAGGAGGACGTCCCGGCGTGGACTTTCAGTCCCAACGCGGTCTTCGGGCGGCTCAACGCCTTTCTGAAGCGCCTGGCCGACATTCAGTGGCTCTTCGACACGGTGCTCGAGTTCTCCAAGCTGGAAAAGATCGAGATCGGCGGGATCGTCGGCAGATCGCTGAGCTCGCGGATCGTCACCGTCTATAAAGAGTTCCAGCATCTGTTCGCGGCCTTCTCGACCCGCGCCACCGACGTCCTGGAGCCGGACGACGAGACCTTCGTGCAGGACTGCCGGAAATTCAACGAATCCATCAACGACCTCGACAACAAGCTGGCGGCCATACTCTGCCAAGCGTTCGACAATTGCGAGAATTTGGAGAGCACCTTCAAGGTTCAAAACGCGATCTTGTACCCTTGAAAGTCATCCTCGTTTGTACGTCCACCTTTCAATGTCTTTTCCTCCTGGTTGCAGCTGCTCAACATAGCGGGGAGTATGTTGGACAGGCCGGTAATCAGCAAGCAGTTTACCAATCGCTACTTTCGCATTCTCGAGCTGCTCGACCGGGAATTCACCACCATCGAGGTTCTCTTCGACCGCGGCGTTTGTGACACCATGAACAGCCTGCCTCCGCTTGCCGGTGTCTTGCAGTTCCTCGGTATGCTCAAACAGCGCGCCGACACACCGGTACAGGCCTTCAAATCCCTGCAGCATCCGTGAGTGTTCTTTTAATTGGGTTTTGCTCGTTGGGTTTTTTCATTTTTTACCCCTACCAAAGGATCGTAGAAAGCGAAGAGGCAAAGGGCATTCTGAAGCGGTTCGATAAACTGGTCGAGTCCATCGACGAGAAGCAAAAGGTCTTGTTCGTGGAGTGGTCGAAAACCGTACCGGATCTGATATCGGTTTGCTTGAACAAGACCCTGCTAAAGAGAGACCAAGTTTCGATGCTGTCGTTGACTTTCGACCCAGAGCTGTACGCTGTTTTGAAAGAAGTCAAATACTTGAAGCAAACATTTGGCGACGACATACCGAAGGAAGCTCTCCAAGTAATTGCTTACTTGATTTTTTGCACTTTTACTCGTACACGATGATGAAACGTATCCGAACGCAGGTGGCGGAGTTGTCGGAAACGTTCCGGAAGTTCAGGACAATGTTGAGCGGAACGATCAATTTTTACAACGAAATTCGCCGAACCTGCCGCAAGGTGGAATTCAATTTAATCGAAGAGGAAATATCCCGGATAGATTCGCTGTTTCAAAAGGGACAGAAAGAGTTGCGCTGGAATTCGGACGGTTTGCTGGAATACATGACGGAGCTGGGAGGTTTGGTGGAGAGCTTGTACAAGCGGGTCAAACTGGCGCAAACTAACGTGGAAAGCGTGAGGAATATCCTACAGCCGTGGACAAAGACACCTTTGATAGGACGAAAAGAGAATCGCAAGGATACCCTGTTGTCCCTGGAGGAGCGCAAGGACAAGGTTGGGAAGCGGTACGGCGAGATTCAGCGGGCTGCCGATCAAATTCTCCAGCTGTTGAAGGAAAACAAAAAATTATTCGAGATACAGGACGAGAACATTGACGCGTGGCAAAGTTACGTCAGTTACGTCGACAAAATTGTCATAGAGTCACTTCGTAAGGCTGTTGGCTGCTCGCTAAGTTATTTGGTTGAGAATATGGACCAGTCAAACCAGAACGAGCCGCTATTGGAGGCTCGATTGGAGCTGAGGGAGCCCGATCTCTATTTTGTTCCATCCTTGGAACCAGACGATCCTGACGGCTTGGATCAGTTGATCGCCAATTTACTGAATGACATCATTGGCATGGGAAACCTCGTGCCAAGACTGAAGACTCAGGTAGAAGGGTACATGGAGGAGCTGGAGAAGGACGAGGACATAAGCGCCATGAAAAGCGAAATTCTTTCAAGTCTAAGCAAAGCTATCGAAGAAGCCACTGATTTTTGTGGTATTTTCGAAGGTACAATTTTCGTGTGAAATCATGGATGTAGAACGATCGATGCTAAGTTTACAGTGCAACAATTTTTTAATTTTCAGATTACGCTTATTTATGGTTAGAGGACAGAGACGTGATTATGCGACAGTTTTTAGATTACAGTCAACAGTTGTCGGCCGAAGAGGTAGAAATGATAGCCGCTCTTGATCCCAAAGCTCCGAAAAAGTGTCCACCTAAAATGGAACAGTTTCGGGAGCAAATTGACATATACGAAAACCTTTACACGGAAGTCGAGGAAATGAGCGCATTGAAGATTTTTTGTAATTGGTTCTCCGTCGACTTGAGGCCATTTCGACAATCCCTTCTCAACACAATTTGCAAGTGGTCAAGCATGTTCAAAAAACATTTGGTGGAACGGGTTACGACTAGTCTATCGGATCTCAGTAAATTTATCAGGTACACAAAAAAAAAAGCAGCAGTCTCGCGAAATACGACGAAGCATCTCTATCAAGTCCTTTATTCGGGTGCTAGTAATTTAGAGATGTACTTTAACTTAATCCTTGGTTCTTGTAGGAGTGTATATTTATCTTAAAAGTAAAAAAAATTTTTCACGAATAATTTGTTGTTAATACGAAACCGTCTTAGAAGTATATTGTATAAAGATTTTAATTCTTACTCATAACTAATAAACAAAAACACGATTATTCGTTCAGATGTGCCGATGAAGGTTTACTGCAGCAAATACAACCCGGAGATTATACTGGTCTAGTGAGTGTGATGGGCTTTTTACTGCAAGTCAAGGAGCGCCAGCCTATCACGGATGAAATGTTTCAACCGCTTCAAGAAACAATAGAACTGTTGAAATTTTACGACCAAGACATTCCGGAAGAAGTCAACGTGCTCTTACAAGAACTGCCTGACCAGTGGACAAACACCAAGAAAATAGCGTTAACTGTGAAACAACAAGTGGCTCCGCTTCAAGCAGGTGAGGATTTTCGTTGATTCATGTTAAATGATTAAAGTAATTAACTATGAAAACCTTTTTTTCAAATGTATATATGTAAATGTGATCATGTTTTTAGGAGAAGTATCAAGGATACGCGGGCGTATATCTGCATTTGACACAACAATAATTCAGTACCGAGAGGCATTTAGACGCTACGAATTTTTCAAATATGAGTGCGTGGATCCTTACGTTCAGCTTGACGAGGCTCACAAGGAGATAGCTATGCTGGAAAGGCAAATGCGCGATATACAGGAGTCAGCCTCGTTATTCGAATTACTTGTTCCGGAGTTCAAACAAGTCAAGCAATGCAGAAAAGAGTCAAAGATGCTGAAGCAGTTGTGGGATTATGTCAACGTTGTCAGGAGTAGTATCGAAGGTTGGAAAACAACTCCATGGCGGAAAATTGACGTGGAAAACATGGATATAGAGTGCAAGAAATTCGCCAAAGAAATTCGGGGTTTGTCTTTGTGTGCAATGATTTAGTTTGTTGATTGAATAAATTTTACAAAACTTTTTTTTTTTATAAAAGGGTTGGATAAAGAAATGAGGCCTTGGACTATTTATACGTCGCTTGAAGCGACGGTTAAGAATATGCTTACTTCTTTGAGAGCAGTCGGAGAACTTCAAAATCCTGCGATTCGTGAGAGGCATTGGTTACAGTTGATGAAAAGTACAAAGGTATATTGACATGAAATTGTACAATAAAAAAATTGCGTTATAATGTTCAAAATTTTTTTGTTGTAAATTTTGTTTCATGTGAACTTGTTCTAGTATGCAATTATTTTATTGTGTAAACATTGTGACATTTATTCGTGATTATCATGAATAACAAATATTAGTTGCACTGCTGTATATATGCTGTCAATGTTACAGAAATTGGGCGACATGACTCCAGAAATGACTGTAAGTTCACTGTATATAAAAACGCACTCTACAATACATATTTTTCTTAAAATATAGTTTTTAAGTAAGATTTGAAATTTTTTACAATAGTTAAATTATTATTACTATAAATTAAAGTCTTGAGTAAAAACGCTTTTCAAAGCTTTGATGAGGAGAGAATCAGTTTATTGTTTTTAAAACTAGTTATTTGCACACTGCACCAAAGTAAAAAGATACTTTTAATGCACTGCAGCAGCATAGGTGCACATTTTCATAAGTTTTATACTTTATTTCACCACTTGGTCACAAATCAACTTAGATATTTGAACCAATGTTAATTTACAAACTATACCACTGAATGTATCGAGTATCACATGTAAATTATCTATGTACATACGTAGATGATACGTATTTGGTAAAGATTCAAATTAGATTAAATTTTTAACTTAAAATATGATTTATTTTCAAAACATGAATTTGAGATACAAGTATTTAATATTGAAACAGGTCCGTTTTGTGATGAACGACTCCACCACATTAGCCGATTTGTTGGAGTTAAACTTACACGACTGTGAAGAAGAAGTGAAAAATATAGTTGACAAGGCTGTTAAGGAAATGTCAATGGAAAAATACCTTCGCGAATTGAACGTCACGTGGTCGAAGATGGAATTCGAAAAAGAACTGCATCTTCGAACGGGAGCAATATTATTGAGAGCTAGCGAAGAGCTGATCGAAACTTTAGAAGAAAATCAGGTAACAAGAAATATGTTTGAGTAAAATTATCAAAAGTAACGAAAAAAAAACAGAATCACGTAAGAAGCTTCGATCTTGTTGTACTAAGGTTCAACTGCAAAATCTAATTACTTCGAAGTTCATCGCTCATTTTTTGGAAGAAGTCTCCGGTTGGCAAAAAAAACTAAGTATTGCCGACCAAGTAACTACGGTATGGTTTGAGGTTCAGCGCACTTGGATGCATCTAGAGAGTATTTTTATGTCTTCCGAAGATATAAGGAAGCAACTGCCTGTAGATTCCGAAAGATTCGATCGCATCGATCAACAATTCAAAGAAATGACCCACGAAATGTCAAAAACTCCAAACGTGGTGGAAGCGACGAACAAAGATGGCCTCGTCAACACTTTGGATGTACTCCAAAAAGAATTGATACTATGCGAAAAAGCGTTAGCAGAGTATTTAGAGACAAAAAGATTGGCTTTCCCAAGATTTTATTTTGTTTCATCCAGTGATTTGTTAGATATTCTTTCAAACGGTAACCAGCCAACGAGCGTAACGAAACATTTGATTAAGCTGTTTGATTCAATGGCACGATTGGAGTTTGATGGCAGTAGTAAAGATGCAAAATCAGAACGAGTCACAGGTAGAAAACCTTTGCACAATAAATTTACTTCCACATTACATGTATTGCAAATGCGTTTTCAGGTATGCATGCCAAAGATGGAGAATACGTTGAATTTGTTAATTGTGAGATGTTTTGCGACGGAGCCGTGGAGGTTTGGCTCAATCGACTGCAAAATGCAATGCGCGTGTCCATCCGGTATTATTTCAGCGAAGCCGTCACGGCTTACGAGGAAAAGCCACGGGAACAGTGGCTGCTAGATTATCCTGCTCAAGTGTCTCTATGCGGCACTCAAATTTGGTGGACTACCGAACTCAATCTAGCATTTTCGAGGTTCGAGGAGGGGTACGACAATGCTCTGAAGGATTACCTGAAGAAGCAAATAAATCAGTTGAGTACGCTTATATCTTTATTACTCGGGGAACTCACCAAACAGGAACGTCAAAAAGTTATGACGATCTGTACGATCGATGTGCATTCGAGAGATGTCGTGGCTAAACTCGTTCAAGCAAAAGTGGAAACTGCTCAAGCGTTTCAGTGGCAAAGTCAATTGAGGCACAGGTGGGATGACAAAGACAAACATTGTTATGCAAATATTTGCGACGCTCAATTTAGATATTCATACGAATACTTAGGTAACACGCCGAGGTAAGACAAACAATGCTCCTGTTTGGTTCGATTGAATTTTTCATTGACAAATAATTGCTCGACAGATTGGTCATTACACCGTTGACAGATCGGTGTTACATAACGTTAACTCAATCTCTTCATTTGGTCATGGGAGGCGGACCAGCCGGGCCCGCGGGAACCGGAAAAACTGAAACAACGAAAGATCTTGGAAGAGCACTTGGTATAATGGTTTATGTTTTTAACTGTTCCGAGCAAATGGACTACAAATCGTGCGGAAATATTTACAAAGGACTCGCTCAGACTGGAGCTTGGGGGTGTTTTGACGAATTCAACAGAATATCCGTCGAAGTTCTTTCTGTTGTTGCGGTGCAAGTTAAATCCGTTCAAGATGCTATCAAGGATAAAAAAGAGGTGTTCAATTTTATGGGAGAAATGATAGCTTTGACAACTAGCGTTGGAATTTTTATCACCATGAATCCAGGTCGGACCAAGAATATTATACACTCTATCTCCCTGATAGTGTGGAAAAATTTACATTTTTTTTTTTTTTTTTGTAGTAATGGCCAAAAATTTTAATACATCTATATTGATTCCAGGTTACGCGGGACGAACTGAGCTGCCTGAAAATTTGAAAGCTTTGTTTCGACCCTGTGCCATGGTTGTACCAGATTTCGAATTGATTTGTGAAATCATGTTAGTGGCAGAAGGTTTTCAAGAAGCCCGTATACTTGCTCGAAAGTTCATAACTTTGTACACACTTTGCAAAGAATTGTTATCAAAGCAAGATCACTATGACTGGGGCTTGAGGGCTATCAAGTCCGTTTTAGTAGTGGCTGGAAGCTTGAAGCGAGGGGATCCTGGCAGACCAGAGGAAGAAGTACTTATGCGTGCACTGCGTGATTTCAACATTCCCAAGGTAGTTTCGGACGATCTACCAGTATTTATGGGCTTAATCGCCGATCTTTTTCCCGCTCTCGATGTACCCAGAAAGAGGGATGTTGAATTTGAAAAAACCGTAAAAACAGCTGCTACGGATCTCTTGCTTCAACCAGAAGATGGGTTCATTCTCAAAGTCGTCCAGCTCGAAGAACTACTGGAAGTGCGGCATTCTGTGTTTATTGTGGGTTCCGCTGGATCCGGCAAAACTCAAGTTTGGAAAACACTTTTTAAAACATATCAAAACATCAAGAGAAAACCAATCTACAATGATCTCAATCCAAAAGCAGTAACCAACGATGAACTTTTTGGTGTTATAAATCCAGCAACTCGGGAATGGAAGGATGGTTTGTTCTCAGTCATAATGAGAGAGCAAGCTAATCTAGCCGGAGAAAATCCAAAGTGGATAGTTTTGGATGGCGATATCGACCCGATGTGGATTGAATCGTTAAACACTGTGATGGATGATAATAAAATATTGACTCTTGCAAGCAACGAAAGAATCGCCCTGACACCTTCGATGAGGTTGCTTTTTGAAATTTCTAATTTGCGCACGGCAACGCCAGCAACAGTTTCTAGGGCAGGTATTTTGTACATAAATCCCCAAGATTTGGGATGGAATCCGTATGTGACCAGCTGGATCGAAACTAGAACATCGCCACAAGAAAAATCAAATTTGGTGATTCTTTTTGACAAATACATACCAGTGTGTTTGGACACACTGCGTACGAGGTTTAAAAAAATCACACCGATCGCCGACATGGCACACATTGAAATGCTCTGTCATCTTTTAAGTTGCTTATTAAATCCAGATCTAACTGCAAACGACTTCACGAAAGATCATTACGAGCTTTACTTTGTTTTTGCTGCGATTTGGGCTTTTGGCTCTGCCATGTTTCAGGACCAAACTCTTGATCACAGGGTCGAATTTCACAAGTGGTGGGTCAATGAATTCAAACAAATCAAATTTCCTGCTCAAGGAACGGTTTTTGATTATTACATAGATTCGGAAACGAAAAATTTCGTCCCATGGACAGAGCGTCTACCGAAATTTGAACTCGATCCAGATTTACCTGTGCAAGCTGTTTTAGTTTACACGGCAGAGTCAATACGAATTCGATACTTTTTGGATTTGTTGATGGCGGAAAAACATCCTGTTATGCTGGTGGGACCAGCAGGTTGCGGAAAAACTATTTTAATGACGGAAAAACTCTTGCAACTATCGGAAAATTACGCCGTAGCTAACGTGCCATTCAATTTCTATACGACATCCGAGATGTTGCAGAAAATCTTGGAAAAACCATTGGAAAAGAAAGCAGGGCGAAACTACGGCCCTCCCGGAAATAAGACATTGATTTATTTTATAGACGACATGAATATGCCGGAAGTCGATACATACGGAACGGTACAACCGCATACGTTGATTAGACAATATTTAGACTATAACCACTGGTACGATAGAAACAAATTGACGCTGAAGGATATCCATAATTGCCAGTATGTAAGTTGCATGAATCCAACAGCTGGATCATTCACGATCAATCCAAGACTTCAAAGACATTTTGCAGTGTTTGCTATTAATTTTCCCAATACTGATTCGTTAACTACTATATACGCCTCGATACTTTCTCAACACTTGGCTAACATCGAACACAGGTAAATAATGTTTGACTCGTGGATTTTTTTTGTTTTTTTTTTTTTGTTGAGATAATCTAAAAATCAATGAATCTCGAATTTCCTTTCAAGATTCCCACTATGCGTGACCGAACTTTGTGGTAACATTGTGCAAGCTTCTTTGCAGTTACACCATCGATGCGCACAAATTTTCCTTCCCACAGCCACCAAGTTTCATTATATTTTCAATCTACGAGATCTTTCCAACTGTTTTCAAGGGCTTTTATTTAGCGGCAACGAGTGCCTTCAAGTTCCCATTGATTTCGTGAGGTTGTGGATGCACGAGACTCACCGAGTTTACGGCGATAAGCTCACAGATGACAAAGATATAGAAAGTTTTGGTAAGCTTCAACTCGACGTGTTGAAAAAAAATGTCGAGGAAATCGACGAAAGCGCTCTTTTCGAAAAACCAAATATTTATTGTCACTTTGCAGGTAATGTAAATTTACTTGGGAAAAAAATTGAAATATTTACATGGTACGTAACATCGATTACGAAAAAATTTCAGGTGGTGTTGGGGAGCCAAAATACATGCCGATAAAAGATTGGGCCACTTTAAACCGTTTACTGACAGAAGCGCTCGTCAGCTACAACGACTTGGTTTCGGCGATGAACCTCGTTCTCTTCGAAGACGCCATGATGCACGTGTGCAGGATTAATAGGATCCTCGAATCCCCCCGAGGAAGCGCACTTCTAGTGGGCGTAGGGGGCTCCGGGAAACAAAGTTTATCGCGTCTAGCAGCCTTCATAAGCTCCCTGGAGGTTTTTCAAATTCAGTTGCGCAAGGGCTACGGCATATTGGATCTAAAGTTAGAACTCGCTGCTCTGTACTCCAAGGCAGGACTGAAGAACTTGGGGATCATGTTCCTCATGACGGATGCACAAGTACCCAATGAACACTTCTTAGTACTTATCAATGATATGCTTGCATCGGGCGAAATACCCGACCTTCTCCCCGAAGACGAAGTAGAAAACATCATTGCAGGTCCGCAGCATTATTAATCAATAAAAATGATTTTTTGCGGCTGTAATTATTCCATGATTAAATTTGAGGTGTTCGCAACGAGGTCAAGGGTGCAGGGATTCTGGATACGCGGGAAAATTGCTGGAAATTTTTCATCGATAGAGTACGTCGACAACTGAGAGTGGTCCTTTGTTTTTCCCCGGTGGGTTCGACGCTGCGAGTTCGGTCGCGCAAGTTCCCGGCGATAATCAATTGCACGGCTATCAACTGGTTCCACGAGTGGCCTCAGGAAGCCCTGATTTCCGTGTCGAAGCAGTTTCTACAAGAACTAGACGAACTGCCCGAAGTTTATCTGTACTCAAATTATCCCAGCCATGTATTTTTTCAGCACCCGATAAACACTTTTTTATTAACCATCTTTTTGAACAGCGGATCGGTGGCCAAGTTCATGGCGCACGTACACACCACCGTTAATTTGGCGAGTCGGCAGTACTTGGCTAGTGAGCGTCGTTACAATTACACGACGCCAAAATCGTTTCTCGAACAAATCAGTTTGTACTCGAAGCTCTTGAAAAGTAAATCAAAACAGCTCAAGAGCCGCATAGAGAGACTGGAAAATGGCCTGGCCAAGTTGAAATCGACTGCCATTCAAGTCGACGGGTTGAAGGAAAAATTGGCCGTTCAGGAAGTCGAGCTGCAGCAGAAAAATGAGGCAGCCGACGCCCTCATTGCTATCGTCGGAGTTGAAACTGAAAAAGTGCAGAAGGAAAAGGCCCTCGGTAAGTTTCAAAGATCATTTTACGACACGAATTTACTCCCAACCATTCGAGTTGCTTACGAAAAATTTAATTTCGATATGTCAGCCGATGAAGAAGAATCGAAAGTAGCCATCATCGCTGAGGAAGTATTGAAAAAACAGAAAGATTGCGAGGCCGACTTGGTGAAAGCCGAGCCGGCCCTCTTAGCCGCGCAAGAGGCTTTGAACACGTTAAATAAGGCTAATTTGACGGAGTTGAAATCTTTTGGATCCCCTCCAGGCGTGGTGACGAACGTCACGGCAGCCGTCATGGTCCTTTTGGCACCTAATGGAAAAGTACCGAAAGACCGCAGTTGGAAAGCAGCAAAGGTATTGAATTGTTGGTTGAAAATAGCTCTTTTCCCCAACTTTTCGCCGTGAAATTGTATATTTTAGATAACCATGGCAAAAGTGGATGCGTTCCTGGATTCGCTCATAAATTACGATAAAGAAAACATCCATCCCGAAGTGATAAAGTCCATTCAACCGTACTTGAAGAATTCCGAGTTCGAGCCCGAATTTGTCAAGTCAAAGTCAGCAGCCGCGGCTGGTTTGTGCGCTTGGGTCATAAACATCATAAAATTTTATGAAGTCTTTTGCGACGTCGAACCCAAGCGAAAGGCTTTGGCTCAAGCTAACGCTGAGCTCGCTGCGGCGCAAGAAAAATTGAGTGTCATCAAGCGTAAAGTTTGCGTATGTTTGTGCTTTGTTGAACTTGAAAATATTTCATTCGTCGATAAAATGATTACTACTATTTCTGAGTACTAGTCCCTGGAGGAACAATTGGCCAAGTTAACTGCGGATTTCGAGCAGGCCACATCGGAAAAGTTAAAGTGCCAACAAGAGGCTGACGCTACGAATGCAACGATTTCATTGGCAAATCGACTGGTCGGTGGATTAGCTTCAGAGAACGTCCGATGGGCGGACTCAGTGGCAAAGTATACTTCATCAACGTGAAAATGTACTCTCGCACAGCTTGTCACTGTAAATTTTTACTCCATTTCAGTCTCATGCAACAAGGCTCGACGTTACCAGGGGACGTTTTGTTGATCACTGCGTTTATATCGTACGTGGGATGTTTCACAAAAAAGTTTCGGCTGGACCTTTTGAGCAAACAGTGGTTACCATTTTTGCGAAGCATCGAACCCGCTTTGTCGATAACCGAAGACCTCGACCCGCTCAGCTTGTTGACGGATGATACTCAAATCGCCAAGTGGAACAACGAAGGTTTGCCCAATGACAGGATGTCAACGGAAAATGCGACCATACTAACGAATTCGGATCGATGGCCACTGATGATAGATCCACAAGTACTATGGAACTAACATTTTTCTCTATAATTTTGTACCCGAGCTGTTTTAAAACTTGCGAAAATATGTTTCAAGCTCCAAGGAATCAAGTGGATAAAACAAAAATACGGCGAAAACTTGCGGGTGATTCGTCTAGGACAAAAAGGCTACTTGGAAGTGATCGAGCAATCTCTGGCTATCGGAGCAACCGTACTCATAGAAAACATTGGCGAATCCGTCGATCCCGTTCTCGATTCCTTGCTCGGGCGTAACTTGATCAAGAAAGGCCGAGCCTTGAAAATCGGCGACAAAGAAGTCGAATACAATCCCAATTTTCACCTGATTTTACACACGAAATTGGCAAATCCCCACTACAAGCCTGAAATGCAAGCCCAGACGACCTTGATTAACTTTACCGTGACCAGGGACGGTCTGGAAGACCAGCTTTTGGCAGAAGTGGTCAAAGCGGAACGACCCGACTTGGAGGAGCTCAAGGCCGATTTAACCAGACAGCAGAATGATTTCAAAATAACATTGAACAGCCTCGAAGATTCCCTTCTTTCCAAGTGAGTATTATGATATTTTTACTTAGAAATATCAAGACCTTACGTGCCGATAATTTTTACTCGTGAAAATTAAAGACTGTCTTCAGCGGGTAGCAACGTGTTGGGCGACACGGCGCTGGTGGAAAATCTAGAAACGACGAAAAAAACAGCAGCCGAAATAGAGCTGAAAGTGGTAGAGGCCAAGGAAACGTCGAAGGAAATAGACGCGGCCCGCGAACTTTACAGGCCAGCTGCAGCACGGGCTTCTCTGCTTTACTTCATTTTGAACGATCTCAACACCATCAATCCGATTTATCAGTTTTCCTTGAAAGCGTTTAGCGTCGTTTTCCAGAAGGCCGTGCTGAAAGCCGATTCGGCGCCCGAGGTCGCGGCTCGGATCCTCAGTCTCATCGAATCGATCACGTACTCTGTCTTCATGTACACGTCGAGAGGCCTCTTCGAATGCGACAAACTCATCTTCGCGTCGCAAATGACCTTCCAGATTTTGTTGGCTCGCGAAGAGATTTTGTCGGCAGAACTCGACTTTCTCTTGCGATTCCCCATCACACCTCATGTCACCTCGCCAGTCGATTTCCTGACCAATTCGAGCTGGGGAGGAATTCGCAGTCTAGCTTCCAGGGACGAGTTCCGGTAGGTTAATTTTGAAAAAGGTTTTTTTACCGTCCAAATGCCGCAATGAATCCTTTCAGGAATTTGGATCGGGACATCGAGAGTTCCCAGAAGCGATGGAAAAAGTTGGTGGAGTGCGAGTGCCCGGAGCGAGAAAAATTCCCGCAAGAATGGAAAAATAAAACGGCCCTGCAAAGATTATGCATGCTGAGGGCCTTGCGTCCCGACCGGATGACTTACGCGATTGCCGCCTTCATAGAAGAAAAGTTGGGCCCGCGATACATCGAGGGAAGAACCGTCGAATTCTCCAAGTCCTTTGAGGAAACAAGTCCCTCGACTCCAGTATTTTTCATTTTATCTCCCGGAGTAAATCCACTAAAAGTAAAGTATTCCCCTTATCGAGCAGAGTTGAGTTTGGTCCTTGTTGTAACACTCGAATAAAATTATCAATCACAGGATGTCGAGGACTTGGGAAGACGACTCGGATTTACCTCTGATGCGCAAAATTTCCACAACGTATCCCTCGGCCAAGGACAAGAAAGTGTAGCCGAGTGTGCAATGGACGAAGCTTCGCAGAAAGGCCATTGGGTCGTTTTGCAAAACATACATTTGGTTAAAAAGTGGCTGCCCTTGTTGGAAAAAAAGTTGGAAGTAGCTGCCGAAGGCTCTCACCCAGATTATCGTGTATTCATGAGCGCCGAACCTGCAAGTACCCCAGCTGGTCACATTATCCCCCAGGTTTATTTTTTCTTTACATTTTTATCATTGGTGTAGCTGCAGGTTGTAATGAAATGTTGATCGTTTGAAGGGAATTTTGGAGTCATCGATAAAAATAACGAATGAACCGCCTACGGGAATGCAAGCGAATTTACACAAGGCATTGGACAACTTTACCCAAGAGACTTTGGAAATGTGCACCAAAGAGGCAGAGTTCAAAGTCATACTGTTTTCGTTGTGCTATTTTCACGCAGTCGTAGCCGAACGAAGAAAGTTCGGGCCTCAAGGCTGGAATAAAATTTACCCATTCAACGTCGGAGACTTGAACATCAGTGTGAGTGTCTTGTACAATTATCTGGAGGCGAGCCCGAAAATCCCTTGGGAGGATCTCAGATACCTTTTCGGAGAAATAATGTACGGTGGCCACATAACCGACGACTGGGACAGGAAACTATGCGTTTCTTACCTCGAAGAACTGATGCAACCCGATCTTGTGGACGGCGAACTATTTCTCGCTCCAGGTATGTGTGGCGACTGAAAAATCACCATATTCGAAGGACTTTGGTATACAAACCAACTTAACTTTTGAATTAAAGGTTTTCCTGCGCCCCCAAACACCGACTTGGCTGGCTTTCATGCGTACATCGATGAAGTATTGCCTCCTGAATCTCCTTACTTGTATGGCTTGCACCCTAACGCAGAAATAGGTTTCCTGACAACCACATCGGAAAATTTGTTTAGAACTGTTTTCGAAATGCAGCCTCGAGACGCGGGAAGCTCGGGCGGACAAACCGTAACGAGAGAGGAAAAAGTAAGATATACGATTCGATTATACCTATACAGCAAATTCATTAATTTATTATTTTAACATGGCAAATGAATCCGATTGGAAAAGGTGAAGCAAATTTTGGACGAAATTTTGGAAAAACTTCCCGACGAGTTCAACATGGCGGAGATCACGGGCAAAGTGGAGGAGAGAACCCCGTACGTGATCGTAGCCTTCCAGGAATGCGAGAGAATGAACTATCTGACCGGCGAATTGAAGAGATCCCTACGAGAGTTGGATCTTGGACTGAAAGGGGAACTGACAATCACGTCGGACATGGAAAACTTGGAAACTGCCCTATTTTTGGACCAAGTGCCTGCTTCATGGGCACAAAGGGCGTATCCATCTCTGCTCGGGTTGAATGCCTGGTTCGTCGACTTGTTGTTGAGGATACGCGAGCTCGAAACTTGGTCAACGGATTTTGTCGTACGTGGCACATTGTAATCGCTAATATGGTCAACTCACACGCGACTTCTTTTTGACCTGCGAAAAACTTATCAATTCCAGTTGCCATCATCCGTGTGGTTGGCCGGTTTTTTCAATCCACAGTCTCTACTGACGGCCATAATGCAGTCGACTGCGCGACGGCACGAGCTTCCTCTAGACAAAATGTGTCTGCAGTGCGACGTCACGAAAAAGTCCAAAGAAGAGTTCACGTAAGTGCTATTAGCTGAAATAACCAGTTCGATAATTTGACCATGGTAATGGACATTTGCAATAGTATCGATTGAACGACACGTTTGTTTTGAAGCTCAGCGCCGCGGGACGGAGCTTACGTTCACGGAATTTTCATGGAAGGGGCAAGATGGGACGTTCAAGCGGGAATCATCGTCGATTCCCGATCAAAGGAACTGTTTCCCGCGATGCCAGTCATCAACATCCGCGCCATCACCCAAGACAAACAAGACCTTCGCAACATGTACGAGTGCCCTGTCTACAAAACTCGCACGCGTGGTCCGACTTACGTCTGGACGTTCAACTTGAAAACCAAAGACAAGGCGGCCAAGTGGACCCTCGCTGGCGTTGCACTGTTACTTCAAACTTGAATCATATTCATTTAGAATTGTCGAAATGTTATGTTTGTCGAGGAAATAAAAATTTATCAGGTGTCAATTATTTGTTAGTAGGCAAAAAGGTCGAAAAATTTATTTCAATCGTCAAAGTACCTATACTCAACAAATCAGACACACGTTAAACAAAAGGAAATGTATCAATCCGGTAAGAGTAAAAAATGCGAGTGTCGGATTATCCCAGCTATATCGACTCAATTGCCACGAGGGGAAGTGTACATCCAAAAGCAGTTCAAATACGCGCACAAACAAGAGGTGCTCTCTGGACCCTGAAACTGCGTAATTGGTAAAGGGAAGGGCTGCTGTCGTATATCTAGGGAGCGCCAACGAGCAACCGTGCCGTAGATGCGAAAATTACGTCGCTTTTGGTTGGACTGGATCGAAGCCTGGTTACGCAATATGTCCCAAATGTTTGATGATCAACGTTTACTGAGCTTAGACGCCAGTTCCCACGTCAGATCGGATGGGCGTTTCTAAAATTAGGTAGTGCTATATATGGTTCTCCCAATCTTCATCTTTTGATACGCAGATAAAATACAGCTAATCAACTTGTGTATGCCATCAGGTGCGCAAATCAAGTTTGGACGCTTTGAAGAAGCCAGGTTTTCCGTAGGTCATGTGAAGCGAGGTGTCGGCCATCTTGAATTTTGTTTTTTTCCCAGTTCCATCGAGTGCTCATATACATGTATATACTCTCGGTACGCATTGTAACTCGTCAGCGAAGAGTCAGAGGGACGGGTGTGAGTAAAATGAAGGCGGAGACAAAGGGAAGGGCAAAACTTCAACGAAAAGGGGAGAACCTAAATGCCAAGCGCACGTGTTAGCTGGTATATACAATGCACACGATCGAATTTCTCGATGCTTTTCAACCAAGTGACTCCCATTTCGCAATTGCTTTAAAAACTACTTAGCCGTACTCTTGAAGCGTTTATATAGTTATTATTTCTATACAGTGAAAATTGAAGTTGTGGTCGATACCATTTTCTTGGTCTTTGATCGGAAAACGCTGCGTGTATACATGAGGTGCACGTAATGGCGACAGAGGAGGAAGAGGGGGGGGAGTCAACAAAAATGAAGGTTTCCAACAGCAGCATGTGGTAGCGAGCCCGAGCGCGCGGAGGGGGGTGGGGGGGTCTCGATTCGTGGCTCCTCTCGCGTAAGAATGGCCGCTGATTGGAGGAGAGCGAGCGGGTCAGTGGGGCAGATGGAGCGGCTACGGTTTTCCTTCGGCATCCAATGTATACGCGTATATATGTGATTCAACGCGAGGGGAGAACGAGCTCTATGTATACTGACATGTCTCCGTGCTTTTGATGGCACATGTATAGCTATACGTATATTATGTATATAGGGGGCGGGAAAAGAGAGGGCCTCGGAAAAGCCGTGTCGGTAACGTTATACAAGAGGTGGGGAAACCCCAGCGGGTGTGGCAAAAGGGAGGCAGGAAACAAAGGCTGGCTCCTGCCTATTTTTGTTGGAGGAAAACTAAGCGCGAAAAGCGATGGAAGGCGAGTCAAGTTATTGTTCTGGGCTATGTATACTCTTTGCCGAAATGAATGATTGATTTTCAGAGTTACCCTCTTAGACTCATTACCGCCCGACTCACGACACGATGTAAATTGGAGGTAAAAATTGTGTAAATTTATAAAAATAGTTTACTCGATATATATCTCGAAAGTAATTATTGCTCGTTTTTTTCCACTATAATCTAGGTACGTTTAATGAATAAATAATTGTTTCTAAGTCTGTGATTTTCATACTTGAATAATAATAATCTTTCCTCATTTTTACTATCACATGTTATCTGATTTTAAACTAATTTTACTCAAATATAAAACGAAATAACTGTTGCGCCATTATAGCAAATGCTTAATGATATTGTCCGTTGTGTTAATTTTTGGCTTAACATTTTTCTCGTACATTTATCTTACTGTTGACATTTTAATTTCTCGTTACTTTTTACTTGGCATCCATAGCTTTTTTTTATATCAATATACTGTTTGCACATGTTTTCGTAGCTTTACTAAAGAGTAATGTTAATGTGTGGTATTTTCAACTAAATGGACAATTTATAACCTTTACCATTAAAAAAGAAATTAAAAAAAAACAACCCGCCCTTCGTTATTCTATGTAATAGGAGAGATAGTATATTGTCAACCACTAGGTGGGTTTTCGAGCTGCACGTGCATTGAAGTGTATATATGTATAGTTGCCCGCATTTAAAAGCCACTGAAAAACGAAAGAGATGGAGGGACGTATGAGTTTTCGGGCACGTCGAGTTGGCCGACAGTTCCGAGCAACTGTCCGTTTATGAGACATTTGACATCGAGGGGATTATTTCCTCTTGTGTGTATTGATTACTCGAGTTGGCAAGAGGAGGCACGGATCACCGTCAGCATTTGAATTCGTTTCCGTGTGCGGGTGTGGGGTCTCGGTGTGTGCGTTGTTAGCTCGGAGAGGAGGGAAAAAAAAAAAAAAAAAAAGGATCGGGGCCGGGCTATACTGGGCGAGAGCCTGGCGTTGCTTGGATACTATCCAACTGCTGTTGTATGCGCTCTGATAGCGTAGGCTCTTATACGAGAGCTTACGTGCATGAATAGCCGAGAGGGAAATTAAAATAAAAAAGGCCATTCGATCACGTATGGGTAACATATACATGTATTTTTTTTTCTTTTTTTTAAAGCTGATATTGAAAAAGTAAGGAGCACCTTGTTGGTTTTGTCTGTGACGATGGACAAAATGAATTAATTTAAAAAGGGTGGACGTCCATCTTTTGTCCTTATTTGACGAAATATTGGGTTTCAGTCAACACAACACGAGTAGGTGCCTAATCGTTTGATTAAGAATTCAATTAAGATTTCGTGATTGTAATTGAAAAAAATATTGAGTTTTGGATAAACCCTGCAACTGACGCCCGGTTTATAATAAGGTTTTTTTTTTCATTATTTATCAACAATTTTTATTCGCAAATGATTTGTAAAATCTTAATAAAAAGTGGCTTGACCCAACAATAATCAAAATTGTGACTACAAAATTTACGAATCCTAATATATTTGTATTAATTATCGAAATACGGGCGTTTATAATTTTTGATATTCCTGAAGTAAATAATATCGACTTCCGGATAAATACTGTGTCTCCCACCAGGTCCGTTAAACATTTATAACTGTTGGATAAAAAAGTTTTTTTGGATCGTGCAGCGATTATAATATTTCCACGAAAACACTCGCATGTGATAACAAATGATGACGAGTTTCATCTTTATTATTCATCTGCTCAGCGTCTTCTTTTTCTGATGCCGAGATGTTACGAGACCCCCGACTAGCCCTCCGTTTGAAAAATGATTTAAAAAAAAAAAAAAAAAAAAAAAACCTAAAACGTCATAATTACGTAAATATTTCCAAACTCAATGTAGTTATATGTCGTTATCGAATCACGAAACCGTACGGTGCATATATAAGTAACACAGCCATGTCGAACTTGGCGTTCCCGCAGCTGGAAGCGATAAATCGGCACAATATGATACACAAAAGCGCACTCGCTTGCAACAAAGTAAGCATACGTTGGAAAAGAAAAAAGTGAAGGTGCTTTGCGAGCGGAGTGACGTTGATATATATACACACGAGACCAAAGAGTCAAAAGAAAATTCCTCGTCACTCTGCCGCAGAGAGAGAGAGAGAGAGAGGCCATCGGCAGTGGGTGCAATGCACACTGTACGCACACGCGTGTATCGAGATAACAGATATATATAGCGATGGAAACCCGCGCAAGGCGGCTAGAAGCCAATGCACTTTTCTCCTTGAGCTAGTTGGCGGTCGCGCATACGAGCTATGTATACATAGAGAGGCATCGCACCGGAGCTCCATATGTACAGATATATTATAGACCGCGTATGTAATCATATATATATATATAAGCTAGCTCTCGCGGGCGTTGCACTTTGGTCGTCGTGACATTATTTGCAGTCAATATAACGACGCACGCCTATGGCACACGACCGTTATACCCGCAATTAATCGCGTGCACAACTCGCTTGATGATGATACATGTGACTGCACGGTTATACACATTTATATACGCATCTCCCGCGCGCTCCTATCACTCCTGCTATCTTTTATATATGTGAGCGTGTGAACGTGTACGAGGTACGTATACATGTGTATATACATATATACGTCACCTATTGAAGTTGAAAGGAAACGCGCACACACATGTATGAAATTTTATATACATATGCGTGTAACCCTTACGTATGCGCCGTCCTCGCGATCAAAATACCCCCTGTATGCGCTTAGGTACATATAAATATATATATGTACATATACTTGTGTGTAAGGCACTCCTCGTAATCTGACAACACTCGTTGGTTCATTAATCTTGATACGTACGTGCATTTGTGCCTTTTTATCGAGCTCTACTTTGCACTGCGCGTTTTTCAAGGAAATGCCCAAGGTGTGCGCGTACCGTGTAGGCATACTACAACAAGAATCGTATGATGTATTGGCTGATGGGTAACAGTATTAATTTTATCAAAAAAAAAATGTTTACTTGCTCTTCTATAATTCCCATAAGTAGGTATATAAAAGGAGCAACAGACGGACGTAAAATGTTGCGCGAGACGAGAGAAAGAAGCAAAATGGTGCCAAGTGTACGGAGCAAAACGACGAATTATTGAAGGCAATCGGAGCGACCGAGACATTGGGAATCAATAAATAAATGAAAAAAAAAAAAAAAAGTGCAACAGACAGCAAGCACGCGAAAGGGTAAAAAAAGGAGACAATTGCTGGCACACGATGCCATGTGGGTTTCAATGCGTGTAGAGGAGGAGGAGGAGTGCAGAATCTATTCGCAGAGTAAGTAAGTATATATAATATGGATAAAAAGAGAGAGAGAGAGCATATTTCTAAGCGCCCGCACTCGCGCGTATATGTATGTATGTATATATAGCATTGTACGTGAGCGTTGCCCTCTCGATG